AGGTGAAGGGCTTTGCCTCTCCTCCCGCGGCCATAGCCAGCCACAGCCCTCTCCCTTTGGCATCACCCTCCGCCCTCTCCCCTCCTCTTAGGCGCTCCGCGAGGCTGGGCCCGTCGAGACGATCGGCGACGCGACTTCGGCGCTGCGGCCGCTTCTCCGCTCGGCACGGCTGGCGCTCGCTTCTTCGGCAGACGCGCCGCTCGCGGCGGAGGCGATCGTCACCGCGCTCTTGCTGCGGTACGCCGAGCTGGCGGCGGAGATCGGGCGCGCCGACGCCGCCGACGAGGCGGAGCCTCCTCCTCTCGCGGGCTCCGCGCCGTAGACGCGGGAATACGGAGTCATGTCTCCCCCCGGCATCTCCCCATATCTCCCCGCATCTCCCCATATCTCGAGCCCTAGACGCTGACTACGGAGTCATGTCTCCCCCCGGCATCTCCCCATATCTCCCCGCATCTCCCCATCTCTCCAGCCCTAGACGCTGACTACGGAGTCATGCCTCTCAGCCAGCGCTCGAGAGGACACGTATGCAATTGCATTCGGCCGTAGTCGGCCGTATTCAATTGCAGTCGCCCCCCCTCGGACTCACGCGGTGCTCTGAGGACACTGCACCATGCCCGTCTCCCCGCCCTGAGGTATGCGTACTCAGCGCGCAGGCTCCGCGCGCGCCGAGTCTCTCCGCGGCTACCTCGCGGAGCTGCCGACCCTCGCCCGGTTCGGGGCGGAGGCGGAGCCGTCGCTCGACTTGCAGCCGCTCGCCACGCGCCTCGCCGGCGCGGTGCGTGCCGGCTGGTCGCCCGCCCCGCCGGCCGTCCCCGGCTTCCGCACGCGCGGGCAGGCGTCCTCGCAGGCGCTCTCCGTGCCGGGAGGGGGAGGGAGGCGCCTCGGCGAGATTGCCCGAGATGACCCGCAGATTGCCCCGAGAGTAGGCGCTCTCCGTGCCGGCGGGGGGCGCCTCGCCGCGGGAGGGTGGGGGCGGGGGCGGGGCAGCCTCCAAGCCGGCGACCTCCCTCGCCAAGGACTTCACCGCCTTCAAGAATGCCTTCAAGCGGAAGAGCTGAGGCCCGCCGCCTCCTCCTCCTCCCGGCAACCGTGAGGTGCTCGTCGCGGCGCGCGTCGAGCGCCGGTGGGGCGGCGGGGTGCACCGGCAGATAGAGCCGCTCGAGCCGCAGAGCGGCGGCGCCCGCGACCAGGTGAAGAGAAGAGCACAATGTCTTGTGCCGTGTCTGTGCCGCTGAGCTACTCAGCGGGTTGCTTTACTACCACGAGAACGAAAATGGCGCACGCCCCATGAGTGTACGTACGTTTCCTCGATTGCGGAGTTTTCTTTCAGGCGCCCGCGTGCCTTCATGGCTAGGCGGGCGTAGGCGCAATAAAAGTGCGACCGCCGCTCCCCGGGGGAAAAGACCGCACATACTCGCTACACACATCAGTACGACTTACACACACATGCCGCCTCACCGGCCGAAACAGGGAAGGACCTGGGCGATGGGGCACGCGCGCACGCGCTCTGGGGTCGCGGGGCGCGGGTGGTGGTGGTGGCAGTGGAGGAGGCAAGGGCACTGTGACACACGACCCGCTCACTGACTCGCCAGCTCCTGTCCCGCCTCGCTGCCCCTGAGAGGGGAGGGCTGCGGCGCGGCCAGCGCGCCGAGCTTGCGGCGGAGCCAGACGCCGGCGCCGTTGAGCGCGGCAAAGCCGGCGAGGAAGGCGAGGAAGGCAGTCCTCCACGGGCTCTCCGTCTCTGCCGCTGCCCGCGCCGCCAACGCCTCCCAGCTCCCGCCGCACTCACGCCACGCCGCCACGCAGCGCCCCTGCGCGCCGCCGCACTGATAGCTGTCGCAACTGCCGCCGTCGCCGCCGAGTGAGGCCGGCGCCGGCGCCGCTGCAGCGGCGGCCGGGGTGGCGGGAGCGGCTCGCGAGTCGGTGGCCGGCTCCTCTCGGTTGCGGTTCCTGCCGCCACGTCCGCCGCCGCCACCACGCCCGGCTTGCGTGCCGACGAGCAGAAGCAAGAGCGCCACCGCTCGCAATCTGGGCGCATCGCGGGTCATGACTTTGGGCAACTGTGTGCGGCCGTGGTGCCGGCGCTAGCCCGCACACGAGCAACTCAGGGTAGATAAAAAGAAAATTCAGATTAAAAGAATCGCGCGCTCGGGATTTCTTTTCAGCGCACTTCGCTATTGATCACTGTCCACCTTCCTACATACATAAATACATACATACATACATACATACATACATACATACTGTCCAGCGTCCACCCATTCCGCGTTGGTGTCCAGTCCGAGCCTGGCTGTTCTTCACCTGAAATCCGCCCAGTCGTCGGCTCGAGAGAGTCTGAGTTTGAGTGAGGTCCTCATGTGCGAGAGGTCCTCCGGAGGTCCTCACAGCGGGCGGGGATCCGAAACAACTACAATCTACATCATCCCATAGTCCATATGGTTGCGCAAGGTGTTTTGTGTGTGCGCGCGTGGGGGGGGCTTGCGGCCAAGGGGCTGTGCTATCCCTCGTGCGCACGGCGTGTGGGGGATACAATCCAGCGAGGTCGTCCCTCCACAGAGAGGTCCTCACAATCCGAAGGTCCTCACAAACGGAGGTCCTCACATAGCACGCGCCTCTCCTGCTTCACGGCGCACAGAGTGACGTCTAGACTCTAGTTCTCCAGGGCCTGTAAGCACCTTCAGGTATAGCCTCGAGTCGTGTGTTGGAACCGTGACGTCACTTCTTATGGATGCGGCACTAGGGACGCCCAATGTTTTCGTAAATATAGAAGCCACTCTCTCGCGTGTGGAAGCCACGACTGCGTAGTCGTGCTCCCCCGGAGCACGCCATAGAGCGCCGGTTTTGTGTACCGGGCGCACCCGCAGCCGTACACACCACTGCTGCCACTGCCAGGGGGTCGCCGCAGGCGCCCCAAGCGGCGCGGAGCGCCGCCGCAGGCGGCGGACAGCAGGTGCGCAAAATTAAACGCCATTTTCGGTTCCGCAGTTTTGCCACTAACGTCGAAATCCTGTACAAATCGAGACTTACGAGAGCCGAGCCTCCCACGAAAACCACAGAGGGGCGCGCGGACAGCGCGCCGCCAGGGGCGCCGCAGGCGCCTCAAGCGGTGCGGAGCGCCGCCACAGGCGGCGGACAGCAGGTGCGCGAAATTAAACGCCATTTTCGGTTCCGCGGTTTTGGCACTGTCTACCAACTTTGTGGTACAAATCGACTTGCACTTGGTCTGAGCCCTGCGCTGCGTTTGAGCCTCCATTCTGAAAGTGTACGTAGAAGGGAAGGCAGCAGGTCCGGCTTGCGAACTCCGCTGTGCGCCGACAAGGCACAAGCGGTATGGCGCCGAGTAGAGGCCATTTTCCTATTAGAAAAGGCTGTCGAGAGCGCAAAATTTTCTTCGCTGCGCGCCCAACCATGGTGGGCACGCAGCGGGCGCCTGCGGCGCCAAATTTTTGAAATGTCTGCCAGTCGCCCAACCTGATCTCAGAATCACTCCCCTCCTCGGTCGCTTTTGCAAAATTTGGGCGACGCGGGTTTTCTTTCTTTCTTCTCACGGTACCCCTTACTCAGTCGTGATGCACATCTCTCACAACCTAGATCTCTCTCGACCAGCGATCCAAACCAGCTGTACCGTATTAACTGCACTGTGTGCTCTAAGTGGCTGAAAACTTGATCAATTGTTTTCTGAGCCCCTACGCCCTCGGGACGCGCACCGCGCTACTGCGCCCGGGCCAGGGGTGTAAGGGAACACACTAGGGCACACCAGGGCCGGTCTAGCCGGCCTTATCCCGCCCACAGCCTTCGAAAACGCACAAAAATCGCACCGCCGGAGCCGCGGCGAATCGCTACCGGAGGCCGCGTGTCGCGCCACCGACGGCCGCACGTCGAACCCCCGGCTCCGCGCCGCTGCTCCACCGCGCCAGCCATCCAGCGCGCACCCCCCAAGCTGCTGGTGCCCTCTTAAAAGGCCACAAAGCCTCGAAAGGAGCCGTCGACCGTCACCTAACAGAGGGGTGTCGGCCCCGGGCTCGCCGCTCGTGCGAGCGGTCGGCGGCGTCTAGGGCGGAGCCAGCGGTAGTAGCGGTGGTGCCGGCGTGTGCCGTGACGGAGGGGGTGGCGGCGGGGCGCGGACGGCGGGGTGCGGCGGCCGAGGCTCGAGCGGGGGGGGCGGCAGCGGTGGCACCATCGTCGGCGAAGTTCGACCTGGTGGGTGAGAGGTGGGAGGCGCCGAGGGCGGAACCGCTGCGGACGCGGCGAGGTTGGAGGCGCAGAGGCCGAGGCGGCACGGGCGGCGGCGCCGACGGCACTGCAGCGCCGGTGCAGCGCCGGGGAGGGCGGCTGAGGTGGCGCGGACGGCGGTGGCGAGAAGGCGGGCGGAAGCTTAGACGGGTGGTGGTGGAGGAGGAGGCGGCAAAATCACGGGCGAAGCGCCGAGGGGGGCGGCGGAGGCGGTGCACCAGCGGTGGGGAGGGTAGCTACGGCGGCGGGGTAGCGGCCAGCATCGCCAGGGGGGGCGGGAGGTGCCGCGGGTGCCGCACGGGCGGCGGCGGCCGTGCCGGTGATGGCGCCTGGTAAAGGGGAGGCGCGGGTCTGAGAGGCGGACGCGCGGGCGGGAGAGGTGAGTGAGACCACGCACGCGGCTGCGGTCGCGTCGCGCCGTGCGGGAGGGGCGCCGGCGCAACCACGGCGGCAGCCGAGGCGGCTCATCGCGCCGTACAGAGGCTCCGGGGAGGCGCGCGGTGCGGCGGCGCACCGGTGGATCGCCGCGGCAAAGTGTAGCCGAGGCGGGGCGGCAAGCGCCCGAGCCGGCCGTTGGGGCGGCGCCGACGCCGCCCAGGATGTCGTGGGCCGATGGTGCGGAGAAGCGGCCGCTCCCCCTCTCGGGGCGGCCGCAAAACCTGTGCAGGAGCAGCACCCCGAGAACGCGCCTGCTGGGGGTGAGGTGCCTAATGTGAGATTGCGGCCGCCGCAGTGGCCACATCCTCCCTCCAAAGTGCATGTGCCTTGGGAAGGGGGTGCAAGCACACCTCCGCTGCTCGGAATATAGGGTCACCGGACTCGTTCGCGAGCGAGCGCGGGTAGACGGTGGCGTCCGCAAAGCGACGGCTCGCGCGCGACCGCGGGCTTGCGCGTCGGCCGTGCGCGGGCAGAGGGCGCGGAGGGGCGAGCGGTGGCGGTCGCTCGCCCGGGCAGCCCGCGCGCGGGCGGCGCGCCGCAGCGGGGAGCGCCCAGGGGCGCGGCGCGTGCTGGCTGCGAGCGGGCGCTTGACATCGTTTTTGAGGAGAGATCGCCCAAAAATATACCGCTGGATAGAGCACACAGTGGGCCCTAAAATGCTCAATGTGTCTTATCACGGCCCTCCTCGCCCACCGCTCGTATCCCAACTCGTCGCCTCAATCGTCCATGGAGATCGGAACCCTGCCCAACAACTCTCTCGCAAAACTGACACCGGAGCTGGTGCCGGTGCCGGCCCATGGTTCTCTCAGATGTTTTGTGCCTGGCGGAAGCGGGGCTCGTACGTGGCGTACTGACTCGCCTGCGCCTGGGGATATCCAGGGTAGGAAGGATATGCCTGCGCCTGAGGATAGGGCTGCGCCTGGTAGGCCTGCGCCTGAGGGTACCCCTGTGACACCGCGGGGTATCCGGCCGTCGCCATTTCTTGCGCGGCCCTGCCATCCGCCTTCGGCCCCTCCTCGTAGCACAACCGACCACACGCGAGGGTGGCGCAGAGCAGCAGGCCTAGAGGGTCCACGCGACAAGCTCGGGATGTGGGCGTCGACTTGCAAGGGCGGTAAGGCAGCGGGACCGGTCAGGCCGAGCAAGGTGTAGCCAACCGCCAGCAGCGGGATCCCGATGTCCCCCCCCCCGTCGCCCTCGTCGTCGGTGTAGAGCGTCAAGTACAGCGGCGGCGGCGAGGCGGGCGGTGACACAGTCGTCACATCCACCCACAGCTCGGCGTTCGACACCATCCATTCGAGCGGGAGCGCGTCGGCGCTCTTCGGCGCGGTGATCGGCAGGCCGCTGAGCTCGTAGCGGTCCATGTCCGTCCCGAAATCCACATTCTCCACTGCGGGCCCCGACTCAGCGCTGCATTGCTGGCTATTCGAGCAGCAACCGCAGTCGCCACGGTGACAACAGCCCGAGTAGCGGCGTGTGTAGCCGCAACACCCGTAAATGACGGCTGGGCCCCAGAGGTAGCCGTACCTACACGAGACCGTACGCGCGTGCGCGACAGACGCCACCCGGCGCCCTGGGCGGCAGGCGGAGAGGGCGGCGCACGGGTAGTAGGGGTATCCCCAGTAGAGGCCGGGGTAGTACCCAAAGCCGTAGCCGTAAAACCCGCCGTAGGGATAGACGTAGCCGGGGTACACCGGGCCGTAGCGGAAGCCGTAAGTGCCGACAGCGCCGTAGCGGGGCGTGTAGTAGGCAGGGGCGGCGCGCCCCCACCGCCCTGCCCCAGAGGTGCTGGTGCGCCCGCCAAAGGAGCTTGACGAGTAGTACTGCCTGTTCGCGCCGCTGCTGCTGTACGTGGAGGCCTTGCTCGGGTTCCTACGAGAACTTGATTAAGCTCAGCGATGCTCCACGAGCGGTGCGTGGAGGCCCTGCTCTAGACCGGGGCGCGATGTTGTGGGGGGTCGACGGTGCCCTTGCTGGCGCCGACGGTGAAGCAGGCCTGCAGCAAGGGGAGACTGGTTGGGGTGCAAGAAGAGAAGGGAGGGGGAAGGGTGCGGGGTAGCCTTGAGTAGCGTGACGGGGAGGAGGAGGACGACGAGGAGGAGCGGGACGCAGAGGAGGAGGAGGAGGAGGAGCGGGAGCGGGATGCGGAGGAGGAGGAGGAGGAGGAGGAGGAGGAGGAGGAGGAGGAGCGGGAGCGGGACGAGGAGGAGCCGCTCCAGCGGCTGCCGCTCCGCGAGCTGGAGAAACCGCCCCCTCCTCGCCGCCGCGACGACAGCGCCTCGGATAGCGGGTCGAGCTCGGCCTCCTCGCCCCCCTCCTCGGGGATCCACTCCTCCCACTCAGTGAGGTCAAACTCGCCCACCCCCTCGGGGCCATCGCCCACCTCGAGCGCCGAACCCGGCTCCTCCCACTCGTCCCACGCTACCAAATTCATCCTGGGCGGCGGAAGACGCGCGTCGCGCGCCTCCAACAGCCGGCGGCCGTCCGAGTCGGTGCCATTGTACCGCCACGGGAAGAGCGTTACGCCTAGTCACGCGCTGCAGGTACAGGCGGGGGCGGGAAATGTGCACTCCTCCCCGCTGTACACTGTAGTCGGCCCCGTGAACCTTCACGGGACAGTGTGCTGTGAGAGCTCCTGTGTGAAGAGTGCGTAAGGGGTTGGGAAATGTGCGACGTGCCAAAGGACATTTGGGTCGCACCCGAGAAGGCAATCCCAGACCTCGACTGTGGGCCCAACTCGACCTACCCGCAGACCGCCGCGTTTGCATCGAGGCGCAGATCTTGTGTCCACCTCGGCGGTGGCTAGGCGCACCTGCCGGGTGGGCAGCAGGTCTTTACCCTTGCCGTCCTTGAATGAGAATGCGAGCGTGGCAAAGGTGCCCGTCTGGACGAGGACGACCTGAGTATAGGCCACCCCGCGGCGGAGCCCATCCTCCTCGGTAATGTAGATGCTTTGCGGCTGCGGTTCGGCGCTCGTGGACGCGCATTCGGGTTGCCCATTCTGAGAGAGCTTGTAGACGGCAAAGAGCTTGTCATCGACGGCCCTCTCGGCTTCTGATTTGCACGTCTGGAAGGAGAACCACAGCGGCAGCTCTCCCGCCTTGGCGTCGCTTTCGCCGCTCGAGGTGGCATGGATGGCGTGGCCAGACGCGATGAGCGCGACGGAAGTGACGGCGAGGAGGATGAGGAGGTACACGATCGGCGTCGGCGAGCAGCCCATGCCGGCTGGGAGGGGCGGCACGCGCGCGGGGGCGGGCCCCGGCGGCAGAGCTGCTTGTGAAATCGGCCGGGAAACGTCCGAAGAGTTGAGAGATCCCGCGAAAAAGAATTTCACAACTCTCTCGAGGTTCTCGAGGTGGATATCCTTTGGCCGCGTTGGGTAGCGAGCAAAGGCTCTCGCACACGCACGATTCACACGACAGACAAGGCGCAGACGACGGCTTCCTTCGAAATTTTACAACCCCGCCAGGCGAGGCGCGGGCGACGGCTTCCTCAGAAGCCGTCGCCCGCACCACAGGAGCAGTCGCACCACTCCCACCCCGGCGCCCACTAGGGCGCCCACCCACTCTCCACCCCGACATCCCCACCCCACCCCACAACCCCGCCCC